CTGGCTTGTTGTCCCGGGCCCGCTCCCTGCTCCCCGCTCCCTGCTCCCTGCTCCTGCCCCCGACCCCTGGACCTGCCTCCCTGCCCGCCTCCCTCCCTCCCCACCTGCCCCCTCAGGCCATGGCTGAGGCGTTTGGCAAGAAGCGGCGGGAGGGCAAGGCGCAGCTGCACAGCTCCGGCTTTGGCGGCAGCGGCTTCAAGTTTGACGCCAGCGAGGACAATGCGGTGAAGGCGTACAAGAAGGTGGGTGGGTGGGGTGCTGGGCCGGGGGGTGGCGGCGCGCGCGCGTGTGTGTGTGTGTGTATACATGTGTGTATGTGTGTGTGTGAGCCCAGGGCGCTGCCAGGTCAACGTGGTGGTGGGGAAGCCGTGCCGGCCGGACTGTGCTCAACACCCTTGCCCCTCCTCCCTGCGTGGCCCCCGCCGACCCGCGCTCCCTTGCGCACGCCCATGTGCTCCCGCCTCCTGCTGCTGCAGTCTGTGGTGAAGCAGACGCTCAAGGCGCAGGGCGAGGAGGGGGAAGAGTCTGAGTCTGAGGACGATGGAGAGATTCGGGAGGTGTTGGGGGGCAAGCAGGCGGCGGTGCCCACCCCGCCGCCACCCTCGGCGGCCGAGGCGCAGGCCCAGCTGCTGCAGCAGCAGCTGCTCAAGCAGCAGGCGGCCGCCGCGGCCGCCGCGCCAGCCGGAGCGCCGCCGCCCGTCAACCCGCTGCAGCAGATTGGGATCACAGAGGAGCAGCTGGCGGCGATGCCGCCAGAGGTGCAGGCACGGGTCAAGGCGGCACAGGCGCTGGCCTCCAAGCTGGCTTCGCAGGGCCCGCCGGCGGCGCCCCTGGTCCCGCCGCCAGTACCGCAGATCCCGGCGGGCGGCATCACGGCGCTCAGCGCGCTGGCGGCCGCCTGGCAGCCCGGCATGCCGCTGCCGGGCACAGTCCCGGGCGCCATGCTGCCTGGAGCGGTTCCGGCAGCGGCGGCGCAGCCCGCAGCAGTAGCAGCAGCAGCAGCAACGTCGTCGGTGACGTCCACGGCGGCTGGTGCCACATGGCAGCCGGCGGCGCAGCCGCCGCCGCCGCCTGGCAGCCCTCCACCGCCAGAGAACCCGATCCTCGCTGCGGCACAGGCGGCGGCGCGGCGGCTGGGCAAGGAGGCGGGCATTCCCACCACAGCCTACGTCTCGCAGCAGCAGCAGCAGCAGATGGCCCCTGGCATGGCTGGCATGGCTGGCATGGTTGGCATGCAGCAGCAGCAGATGGGCATGCCAGGCGTGCTGGCGCCTGGCAGCGTGCCGCAGCTGCCGCCGTCGCTCGCGGCCCAGATGCTGCCGCCAGGCGGCGGGCCGATGCAGCTGCCGATGCAGCTGCCGATGCAGCCGCCCGCGCTGCCCGGCGCCGTGCCGCAGCTGCCGCCGTCGCTCGCGGCGCAGATGCTGCCGCCTGGTGGCGGCATGATGCAGCTGCCGATGCAGCCGCCCGGGCTGCCCGGCGGCGTGGCTGGGCAGGTGGCGCAGCCCCCCGTGCCCACCCCATCGAAGCACTTTGAGACCGAGCTGGAGATCAACGACTTCCCGCAGCACGCGCGCTGGAAGGTGGGTGGGTGCGGGCGTGGGGTGGGTGGGTGGATGGCACCGTGGGGCGCCGGAGGCGCCCGGTGCACTTCGCAGCTCAGGCCTGTGCTCAGGCCGCAGGCTGCCACCTTCTCGCGTGCCTTCAGCCTCCCTCCCTCAGCTCGCCGCACACCCTCACTTACCCCTCCCCTCCCTGCCCATGCCCTCCCTGCCCATGCCGCCCCGGCCGCAGGTCACCCACCGCGAGACGATCCGCGACATGGGCGAGCTGGGCGCCGCCGTCATCGTCAAGGGCAAGTACTACAAGCTGGGCACGGCGCCGGGGCCGCTGGACGAGCGCAAGCTGTACCTGCACATAGAAGGTGCGGCGGCAGGGCACGCGCGCGCGTGTGTGGCCTCGAGTGCTGTGTGTGTGTTGGTGGAGGAGGGGCATGCACAGGGAAGCAGGGTTGGCAGCTGTGCACACTGGGCGCTGCGGGGCGTCCCCGCCGCCTGCCGTGGTTGTGCCCCGCCGCACCCCCACGCATGCGCACACGCCCTCGACTGTCCAGCCACCAGCCTCGGATGCATCCACCCAGCCCCTCCCTTCACCCCTCACCTCACCCCACCCACCCCACCCCCCGCCTGCAGGCCCCACCGCGGAGGTCGTGAAGCGCGCCAAGCAGGAGATCAAGCGGCTGCTGGAGGAGTTCACGGAGAAGGCGATGCGGCGGGAGACGCCCGCGGCGGGGCGCTACTCGGTCGTCTGATGGCGGCGGCCGGCCGCCGGCCCGCCGCGCCGCCACGTGTATCACCAGGTGAGAGCAGCGCCTGGTGCTCGCTGTGCGCGGCGAGCGCCTGGCGGCAGCGGCGGCGGCGGCGGGCTGCAGAGCCGGGACCGGGAGCGACCCTGCCCGCCCCCGCCCCTGGCTCCGCCCTGCTCCTGCAGCGGCAGCAGTTTTGCAGCGTGCGCCGCCGCGCCGCGGTGGGCATTGATAGATATACCCCATGTGGCGCCACCCGGCGGCAGCCCGCCTGCCTGCCTGGCATGGCGCGCCCGCTGCCTGCACCCGCGCTGCGGCGCAAGTAAGCCCCCCGGGTCACTGTGCTTGGGTGCACCTGGCTTGCCTGGGGTTGCCATGCCTGGCCCCTGCTGTGCTCTCATGCACAGCACGCAGCAGCAAGGCAGCTGAGCTGCCACAGGCCTTCATCGCACCTGGTCTGCTGGCGCCTGCTGCCTTGCTTGCTTGCTCTCAGGGAAAAGGCTGCGCACCCCGGCGGCTCGCCCGCCCCATCCGTGCACACCCGCTCCCCAAGCTGGCTGCATAGCGCAGCCCAGCGCTGGGCCAGCCCGGCAGCTGCTGCCCCGTGCCAGCCGTTTCCGGGAGCACTGGCCAGAGCTTGTTGCCGATCCCTTGGCCCAGCAGCTCTGACCTGCACCTGCGTTTGCCTTCCTCGCTGTTGCAGGCGCGAGCGCTTGCACCTTGCAAGCCAGGCCCAGGCACCGACGCGGCGCACGAGAGCTGCCTTCCACTGCTCCTTCTCTCTGCTGCTCGCTCTGCTCCCCCTCCCTGTTCCGTGTACCTGCATTCGATTTCATCTGAAGTGTGACGCGTGTTCCCACTGATCCTGCAACTTGTAATTGCTGGCATAGCTGGAAAGACAGGCGTGGCCGCTGCAGCCGCCGTCGGCTGGGTGGGATCAACCCGAGGTAGTGCGGACTTGGGTCCACGCCACAAGCTGCGCATTGTTCTGCTGCTCGAATTGAGCAAGCACTCAATGCAAATGTGGCCGCAGAGAGAGTTGCAAGCCACAACCATGGTGACGCCACCGCCGCCAGCTCAGGGGGCTTGTTGTGCCTCTGAGAGCTAGGACCCCTGGGCTCCGCAAGCTGTCCTCTTCAGACTGCACCATGCAAATGAGGCCGTCTGGGCTGTAGCTGCGCACCAGGCGCTTCAAACACCGCAGGCCTGCTCTCGCTCAACCTTGGCTGCTGCAGCTGTTCCCAGCAAGCCTCTGCACAGCCGTGTAGGCTGCCTAAGCCGCTGCAGCAGCGTTGGGGGTTCCCAGCGAGTGGGGCACTCGTGCAGCCCACAAGACCAAATCCCCCTGGCTTGCTGACACACACACGATGCTGCCCGAGCTGGAGGGGCTGCTGCTGCAGCAGCACAGCACCTCGGAGGTGCCGCCGCCATCGTCGGGCGTGCTGACCCGCCAGCGCTTGCAGCGCCAGTCCAGCCTGGACCTGCCGCCGCTGCCCCCCACGCAACAGCGCGATGAAGGGCTGGGGCTGGCCCGCCAGCTCAGCCTATCGGCGCCAGCGGCGAGCGCGGCAGGCTCGCAGGCTCCAGCAAACGGCGGCGCCCGCAAGCGCGCCGCCGGAGGGCGTCCCAAGGCTGCCAAGGTGGATCTCGCCTCGCTGCCAGACGAGGAGCGCAGGCTGGAGCAGCGCAAGGAGAAGAACCGCGCGACGGCGGCGGCCTCCAGGTGTGCGGGGCGCGGTTGGCAGACAGAGGTCAGTTTAGCCTAAGATGCAGCCTGAGCTGATGTGCGGTGACCACGACTCCAGCTGGGTGCGACCTCCCTCGCCCCCATCCATGCAGGCAGCGACGCCTGGACCGTGTGGCTGCCCTGGAGGCGCGCGTCGCGGAGCTGGAGGGGGAGAACGATGCGCTGCGGCGCCTGCTGGCCGCCCACAGCATACAGGTGGGCGGCAGGGGGGCATGCGTGGGTGAGACATGCGTCGCCGCTCTGCCCCGCAACAGGCACGTGATCCAAGGCAGCCGAAGCGGCCCGCCGCCCTGCTCGCCCCACGCAGGCGCCTGCGCCCGCTGGCTCTGCCGACCAACGCCAGCCTGGAGCCCCTCTGCCCAGCTGTGATGCTGACACAACCTCTGGACCCGCACCAGCGCCGCTCGGTCCCTCAGAGCAGGTCTGCCAGGCGGCCGCCTTCATGGCACTGTCCCGCCACACCTCGCTGCCCGGCGGCGGCGCCGCGCCTGCCTCCGCAGCCCATGTGCCAGCAGCTCCCGCAGTACCGCCCGCATCACACGTGTCGGCCCTGGCCGTCTCGGCAGCTGCGGCGGCCGCTGCGTCGGACCTGGCGGCAGAGCTGGGGCTGGGCCCTGTGGCGGCTCCCGGGCTGGGCCCCCTGGACCAGCAGCAGCCCTTCCACCAGCCGCAGCCGTCAACGGCGGTCACGGCACCGGCAGCGGCGGCAGTCGATGAGGAGGCTGACACCTGCAGCATCAACTCCCCGCTGCCCCAGGCCCCGCATGGGCTGGCCGGTGGCGTGCTGCTGTGGCCGCGGCAGGGCGAGGCGCCGGGGCATGCGCTGCCACAGCCTCTTCAGCCCACACTGGGCGCCAGCGCGGCAATCAGGGCAGGGGACGTTGAGGCAGAGGCCGCTCAGCGCCGTGGCGCCGCAGCTGCCGTGCTGGCTGCGATGGGTCGGGAGCAGAAGGCGCAGTTCCTGCAGCGCCTGCAGCAGCTGCGCCCAGAGCTGTCAGGCCTGGCGGGCAGCCTGCTGACTTCACTGACGGCGCCTCAGGCTAAACATATGGCGCAACAGGCTGGCGACGATGGAACCGCCGGTATGGATGCTGCACCTGCCGCTGGCTGGCCCGTCGCCGCCGTTGCTCAAGAGCACGAGCTGCTGTCACAGGCGGCCGCAGCTGCCGCTGCGGGCGGCATCGCTGGCTGGCAGTTGGGCTTGGGATCCTTGCCTCTGGCTGCGGCACTTGCCACCCCTCCCGGGGCTCGCACCGGCCTGACGCCACCTCGGCTGTCAGCGGGTGCTGCCGCCGCCCTGCTCGCCTCCCCCCAGCCGCTGCTCAACCTGTTCAGCCCCTGAACGGCTCAACAACAAACCCACAATCCCTGTATGCTTAATTTTGTATGTGCATCACACAGTAAGCCTCCCACAATAAGCCTGCCTAGTAATCCTGCCCATGAATCCTGCCTGGCCCCCAACACACTTAGCTGCTTTGTTTTGCCCCAATTTTCCCTTGCGAACCACTTTCCTTTCTTCTTTTTTTGTCTCCCTTTCCGTCTCCCTTTCCAAATTCAGCATTACACACGGTCTGTTTTTTCCATCTCTGAGCGGGAGAGAAATCACAACAGAGAATGCAACAGAAAGCAACATGAAGAAACAGAGGGGACATATGGAAAGCAGCTGCGCCGCCTGCCGCATGGGATCACAGCGCTGTGGCCCGCACGTCGCCCACGCCAGGCGCGCTGCCCAGGCTGGGCCACGCGGCCCTGTGCACAAACACCGCCACGGCTCCCGCCTCTGCCGCCTCCACCTTCAGCCGCTGGAAGCCCGCCTGCGCCAGCAGGTCGGCGGTGGCGGCATCCTGGGTGGACCCTCCCGTGCCCACCACCACCACCTTGGCGTCCAAGATCTCGAACTCCAGCCCCCGCAGCACCTCCAGCTCCGCCCCCGCCACATTGATGGACAGCAGGTCGATGGAGGAGAGGGAGAACCTGGGGACAGGGAGGCAGGCACCGCGCCGCGGCAGAGGTGGCTGCGGTGAGCACCGCCAGCGCAGCCGCACGCGGCAGCCGGGGACTCCACCACGCCGCCCCAAGCACACGGCACGGGGCAGCGGCAGAGCCGCAGGCAAGATGCCCTGCTGGAGGGCAGGGAGCCAGGCAGAGCAGAGGCAGGCGCAGGCGGCCGGCCTCACTTGTCCAGCAGAAACTGCAGCGGGGTGCACTGCACGCGCGGCAGGCCGTCGGCGCCCTGCTGCGCCCGCTGCGCCTCGTCCGCCAGCAGCTCGAACACGGCGCCGCCCCGCCCCGCACGGTTCGCCCAGCGCGCGGCGCCAAACTCGCGGCACGCCGCCGCGTGGAGGCAGATGGCGTCGGGGCGGTTGCGTGCCAGGCGCGCGTACAGCTCGGGGTGGCCCTCCACCAGCACCCCCCGCCACCCGGCCGCCTGCTCCAGCCACAGGCTGGCGCTGCGGGCCAGGCCGTCGCCCGCGCCCACCTCCAGGAAGAAGCCGCGGGTCGTGTTGAAGAACAGGTGGCGCTGCAGCCAGGCCTCGAGGGCCGGCGGCGAGGGCAGGGGCACCTGCACGCCAGGCGGGCGCCAGGTGGCACACATGGGGAGGGGCTGAGGGAGGGCGCAGGGCAGTGCTGCTGTCACAGGGCGCAGGCCGGCGTGGCAGGCCAGGGCGGCCCCGTGACCCGCAGCCCGCCCGGCTCACCGAGGCATTGATGGCGCCGCCCTGCGTCAGCTGCGGGCTGTTGGCGGGCCGCACCGCGGCGCCCAGCCAGAAGGGCAGCTGCATGGTGACGGCGGCCCGGGGCGCGCCCTTCCACCGCACCGCCGCGCTGCGCCGCCTGGACACCTGGCCAACGCCCAGGTCAAGCGTGAAGCGGCCGGTGGTGAGGAGGATGAGGCCCAGCAAGATGGCTGCAGCGCCCGCCACCTGCCCCCACGGCCACCCCCTCGCCTCCTCCTCCTCCTTGGGCAGGCGCACGGCTTGCATGAGGGGCGGCATGGGTGCTCCTGAACCTGCACTGAGGCGCAGCAGGGGGCACAAGCATGCTGGCAGGTGGAGCGCCTGGGGCTGGCAGGCGGTGGCGAGCAGGCGGGCGGGAGCCCTGGGAAGGAGGAGGGACACAGGGGGTGGCTGGTGCGCTCAACGCGCATGGACGCTGAGCACGTTTGCAGCACGTTTGCAGCACACGCGTGCTCTCACCGCAGCGACCTGCAAAGTTCAGAGGTGCAGCCAACGCGGCCTCGGATGGCCTGTATGAAGAACAAAGAGTGCTAAGAGGCTGACGAGCAAAGCGATGGGTGCGAATGGGCCAGGCCTGGCCAGGCGGCGACAGCCTGGCGGCGCCGGGGCGGAGCCCTTCTGTCCAGCCCCATGTCAGCTTGGTGCCACAGGACATGGCTCGAATCCCATCGAAATTCATGGAGGAAGCGACTGCATCTGGAGAAATGCCATCACACAGCTGGGGGTCGGAGAGCTGCCAGCAGGCGAGCCGTAGTTCTGCAAAATCTACAGGTGCTTCTCCAAACCCAAATCGTTTTCCTACAAGATTTCCTTCTCCTTCAACACTCTCGCTAAAATCCATGAAAGCCGCCCGCTACTCGGCCTGCGGCCCCCCCTCTGTGTTGCGCCTGGTCACTGACGAGCCCGTCCCTTGCCGCAAACGGGGTGAATGCTTGGTGCGAGTGGAAACCGCTGCGGTGAACCGCCTGGAGGTGAAGGCGAGAGGGTGGGTCGGCAGCCATGTCGGCCCGCTCCCTTTCTGCTCCTTTGAACCTCAGGAGCGCTGGAATCTGTCCTTGGGTAGCAGCACATGCATTAGAGCTTGGGTGCAGTGCGCCGGCTCTGGCCCCGCCCCGCCGACACTGCCGCTGCCGCTCAAGGCTCAAAGCTGCCCAACACGTGCAGGGGCGCCCTGCCGCGGCTGATGATCAAGCTGCCGCAGGTGCCTGGCGGCGACATGGCGGGCGTGGTGGTGGAGGCCGACGAGGGTAAGGCGCCTGCCAAGGCGACCCCTCGCTGCCTGCGCCACACTGCCGGCTGCCTCGTGCCGTGCTCACTGCAGCCTCTCTGCCTGCGTGACATGTATATGGATGTATATGGTGCAGGTTCTGCCTTCCGCCCAGGCAGCCAGGTGATGGCCCTGACAGACGGCTTCCAGCCCAACACCCGTCACGGCACGTTTGCTGAGCTGGTGTCGGTGCCAGTGGACCAGCTGGCCGCCATGCCGCCCGGGCTGAGCTTCGAGGAGGGTGCATCCCTGCCGCTGGTGTCCCTGACGGCGCATCAGGTGGGGCGTGATGTGCGGGGGCCCTCACCCTGCTCCACAGGAGGCAATGCCAGGATGGATGCAGCGAACAGTGCAGCGTCACCTGGCCGGATGCACCCCCGCCTTGTGTTCCTCCGCCCTGCAGGCGCTGGAGGCCGGCGAGGTGCGGAAGGGCCAGCGCCTGCTGGTGCACGCCGGCGCCGGCGGCGTGGGCAGCGCAGCAATCCAGCTGGCCAAGGCCAGGGGCATGCACGTCACCACCACCTGCTCCGCGGCCAACGCCGACTTTGTGAAGCAGGTGGGTGCACTGTGGGGGCAGGACCGGGGGAAGGAGCTGGTGCACAGGAGGCATCCACAGCTGTACCGGCAGCTGCCGCCCCCACGGGGCGCTCCACATGCCCTGGAACCCCACCCTGCCTGCGCTGCTGCCTGCCCCCACCCGCAGCTGGGCGCCGACGAGGTGGTCGACTACCGGGAGCAGCGGTTCGAGGAGGTGCTCAAAGGGCGGCCGTTTGACCTGGTCATCGACACAGTGGGGGATGATTATGAGCCGCGCAGGTGGGGATGGGGCCAGGTGTGCTGTGCTGGGGGACTGGGCATCCTCTCTGCCCCTCGCACCGACCCCATCCTGCACTCTCTGGCCCGCTGGCTGCCTGCCTGCCGCGCTGCAGCCTGGGGCTGGTGGGCAAGTACGGCACCTTTGTGTCGCTGCTGGCGGGCAAGGCCGTTTTTATGCCGGTGGTCAAGGGCTACGTGAGGAGCTTCCTGGGCCTGGGCCCGCGCTACAAGGTGGTGTCGGTGGCGCCCAACGGGCGCCAGCTGGCGGAGCTGGCCAAGCTGGCCGCTGCGGGCACCCTGAAGCCCATCGTGCACAGCGTGCTGCCGCTGGAGAGGGCCAGGTGGGGCGTGGAGGGGTGCAGCGGGATGTGGCTGCGCATGTAGCACCGTGCATCAGCTGCAGCAGGTCATCACAGCACCGAGGCCTTCATGCCCGCCCATGCTGCAGCGAGGCGCACGAGCAGGTGGAGAGCAAGCACACCCGGGGCAAGGTGGTGGTGCGGATCAGGGCTGCCGCGGACAGGGCAGAGGAGTGAGGGGCGCATCGACAGGACACAAGGGCCCCCAGATGCATGAACACACCAGCCGCTTGGGGCTTGGCCATACTATTTTTTTTATTTTGTGTTGTTGGTATTATTGCAAATGCACCATACGCCCACTTCCCTCTGCTTCAGCTGTATCAGTACAGGTGCAACCACCAAGGTCCCACTTTGTTCACTTGTTTGTACTAAATAGCAACCACCTCTTAACCCACTTGTTTCCTCTCTCCCATTTTGACAACGTACTATGGGCTTACTGTTTCCCTCATTCCTGCATGCTGGTGCACACGTTTAGAGATCACATACGTATTGTTGATAGGTTTGGCAAGTGTTAGCTGCTGCAGGGTGCCGGCGCCTCACGTGCTTCAATCTTGCTGCCGGCTGGGCACCGTCGTGGGCAGCGCAAAGTGATCCACCAGCTGGAAGCTGCCCGGCTCGTTGGGGCCCGAGCCCTTGCGCTTCTGGATGACGCCGTGGTGCACGGCGAAGCGGCCGCTGGCCTGGTCGGCAAGGTAGCTGCACCGCAAGGCAGGCAGGCAGGCAGTGTGCGGGTGAGCGGCAGGCAGGCAGTTGGCGCGGGTGAGCGGCAGCAAGCGCAATGCGCAAGCACAGCACTTGGCCATACTCTGCCAGGGAGCTGGGGAGCCTCAGGGGTGCCCTGCTGCCACTGCTGCCGCTGCGCCTCGCCCGCCTCCCCTGGCAGCGAA